AGTAGAAAGAACGTATCAACAGTAGTTCGTCGTGCAAGCATTCTGTTGCAGAGCGTCTCCTCCAACATTTTGGTCAGACTGCAGCTTGAAATACCTCTCGACCAGCTTCAGTCATGGAGTTGATCTTTGCTTGAAGAACGCCCCGGAGAAAACTGTAGGAGGTGCAAAATGTGGAAACGGTATAGTAGAAACTGGGGAGGTGTGTTTTCTGCTGTAATATTTGTGTCATTCCAATAAGTATTCGATTCTGTTCAGGAATGTGACTGTGGCAGAGAGCAATGTCCACATTCCTGCTGTGATGGTAAGACTTGTCGTTTGACTGAAGATGCAGAATGCGCAGATGGAGATTGTTGCGATTTGCTCACATGCAAGGTCCGTTCAGGCAAACCAAATTCTTTTTTTTTTGTTTTGATATTGATGGCGCTAAAAGCCAACTTGTTCTCTTCCAGCCGAAGCCGAGGGCTGTAGTATGTCGCGCTTCTACTGGTATTTGCGACCTGCCGGAGTACTGCAATGGCGACACTCCTGAATGTCCTGCCGACTTCTTCATTCAGAATGGTCAGCTTTGTCCTGGCAGAAGCGACGTGAGTTTTTTGTGCAGCTTGTCATTATTTTGTAATGAAAGCAAACACTATTCATGAAATATCTCGTTGTTGGGGATTCCTCTCATTTATCAAAAGCAAATAGAAGACTTTTGTTTTGACGGCTTTTTGGTCGTCCAAAGCATTTCATTGTCACTCTCATCATATAGGAATTCACGGTATGCATTTCCTAGTTAGATACTTGTGTCGCCCTCAAACGCATTTTATTGATAAAAGGTACTTGTGCGTTGCATACACTGTAAATATAGCCGTTATTCATGTCTGCATACTTAAACAAGCAGTCTGATTTTCATCTTTGCTAGCGGTTCATCGCTAAGCTTTTGAAAATTATTGTTGTCCCTTTTGAGAAACATATGCAATACCTCTGCGTTTATCTTATGCATTACTATCCATTTGCCGT